CGTAACGTACGTACGTACGTACTAACGTACTAACGTACTACTACTACTACGTACTACTACTACACACTACACACACACACTACTCTACTCTCTCTCTCTCTCTCTCTCTCTCTCTCTCTCTCTCTCTCTCTCTCTCTCTCTCTCTCTCTCTCTCATATGTATGTTTGTGTCTAGTGGTTGAACAAGACAAACAGATACCCCACTCTCTCTCTTTCTTTCACACTCTCTCTCATATGTACATTTGTGTCGGTATTTCTCGATACGATGGAGCATCACCATCACCACTGCTCATTGCAGTAGCAATGCTGGTGGTTCTCTGCTTCACTGTCCAACACACACACACACACAGAGGACAAGCATGTCGTAAGGGATGGAACAATCACACCACCACCAAATACAACAGCAAGGAGCATCAGACGTGATCCATTTATCAGCAGTCTAGTGATTTCTTCTAGCATCTTGCAATTTTTGTCTTTCTAAAGTTTTTAGTTACACATCATCAAGATAATCATAACTAGTAGTTCTTGAGCAATTACTATCATTATCATCAGTGATGCTGCCCAAAATACTGCTCTCAGGTATTTAGATAAAAAAGATAAGCTTAAAAGTTACACGAGGAACCACAAAAGGGAAAATTAGTCATTGAGTCTATCATTTTATGTCTTTTATTTATTTCTCGAGTCTTTTTATTCATTTAGGGGCATAAGTAGTAATTTCTAGAGTATTTTATGTCTTTTTATTCGCTAAAAGTCTTTTATAACGAAGGGCAATAATTAAATTAAATGGATGGTCAGGATTAAGTCTTGTTTGGGGTTTTCTTATATAAGGGATGTACTCAAAATCATGTTATAGACTTTAGTTAAAACCCTAGAGCAGCAAGTGCTTAGATTAAATGGATGGCCAGGATTAAGACTTGTTTGGGGTTTTCTTATATAAAAGATTTACTCAAAATCATGTTATAGACTTTAGTTAAAACCCTAGAGCAGCAAGTGCTCCTTCTTTTGCCTTTGATTTTTTATTCTTTCTCTATTTTTGGATCTTCCCTATTTTCTTCTTTGATAAAACCCTAGCTCAAGCAACTAAGTCTGCATTAGGTTGGTATTAGAGCCCAATGTTCAGTAAGGATGATACTGGTACATGGTACTGTAGCACATACTGTAGCAAATTACTATAGTACCGTACTGTGCTACAGTTGTGTACGTTACTATAGTACGATACTGAAGCAAGGTACTGTATCATCGATTTTTGTGCCCTAGATCAACAACCATGCCTCCGCGTAGAAGAAAATGAGGAAAAGAGAACCATAAAAGCCTTTGATGCGAGTTCGTGAGAAGTGATTGCAGATCTAAGGAGATTGGTTGAAACCCTAGATCTACATTTGGCGCAGATGGACGCCCCATCTCAGGAGGATGAGATCGAGGTAGATAAGTCGGTGACCAAGTTCGTGTCAGACAGGTTCAGTGCATAGTGTCATCGACCTAGGCACGAAATCGATGATGATTTGAGCAGATGTTATGAAACTCTATCCGAGGACAACCATGGAGAAACTTTGTTCTCACCAAATTGTTCTCAAGATCAGCACATTGTGAACTACGACTCACCACAGTCTTTAACAAATACTTGGATGAAGGTTTGGATATTGAGAAAGAAATGGCACATTGTGAACTGCGACTCACCACCAGTCTTTAACAAGTACTTGGATGAAGGTTTGGATATTGAGAAAGGAATGGGTGATCATAAATTTAATGATGATTCAATCTGTAAAGAAGATCGTGCCATTGGAGAGATTTTGTCAAGGAGTTCCCAAAAATATTGGAGGTAAACGGGTTTCTTCGTCCCCATAGAAAGTAGCAAGGCGAATGGTATTGACAGGAGGTAATGATGATGAATATCTTCTTCTTGGAGTTTTATTTGAATATGGAGTATCATGTGAGGTGTGCCCCGAGGGTTTGGTGATAATTTCCTATGAGCTTTTTGCTATTGAATTCAAAATAAAAGGTGGCTATCGAATGGTTGCTTATCTTATTGTTCAACCTCAACCATTATTTTGTTTTGAGTGGAGAAACACTATATCGAATCATTATGTGCAAATTGAAGTCACAAGGGTAATGCATCATTAAACTTGTGATGCTTCAAAATTCATGTTAGAGTTTTCTCTGATGCATTCAGGACCATGAGCGTTGTGCTTATGTACTACAAATACAGCAATTCTCAAAAGGCCCAAAGCATGGTTAATCCAATGTAAATGGGGAATACAGTAAAATGGCACGTCTTGATCTCAAGTCTCATCTAGGTAGAACCATTCAATACTTTGAAGAAGATCAATGACAATGCCTATCAATTAAAGCTTCCCAGTCAAATTCGTACTTCTGATGTTTTAATGTCAAGCATCTCATTCCATATATTGGTGATACCTCAAACAACAAGCCTCCAAATTTGAGGGTGAATTCTTTTGAGGAAGGGGGAACTAATGCAACCCAAAATACTCATCTTGGGTATCTAGATAAGAAAGAGAAGCTTAAAGTTTACAAGAGGAACCACAAGGACAAATTAGTCATTGAGCCTATCCTTTTATTTCTTTTATTTATTTCTTGACTCTTTCTATTCAATTAGGGGCATAAGTAGTAATTTTTATAGTTTTTTATGTATTTTTATTCACTTAAAATCTTTATAATAAAGGGTTATGATTAGATTAGATAGATGGCTAGGATTAAATCTTCTTAAGAGTTTTCTTATTTAAGGGATGTACTCAAGCATAACGGATGATCATGTTATAGACCCTAGAGCAGAAAGTGCTCCTTTTACCTTTGGTTTTTTAAACCGTTCTCTATTTTTGTATCTTCCCTATCTTTTTCTTTGCTAAAACCCTCGCTCAAGCTACTAAGACTGCACGAATCAGAATCATCGACGTCATCATTTTTGTTAGTAGTAGTGGTAGAAGATGTACTACTAATATTATAAATAATAACTGCACTCATAAAAAAGAATGGTGAATTACCTCTGCCTTTCATGAAAAGGAAGAATGGGGGCTCAGAAATTTGACCCCGGGGATGATGAGGAAGAAAGAATATGCAATTTTCATCATCAATCATTGCATCTGATCCATGAGACTGGACCTGGAAAAATACAACGTTTCACAACCCCACTCAACAAGAATTGACTTGATACAATAACGATGCAAAAAATCTGAATTGAAGGAGCAACTCGGTCTACAAAATGCTACAACAAATCAAGAACATATGTTCCCAATAAATTAGGCAGCAAGTGTTTGAAATTTTTGTCTTTCAAGTTTTTGCAAACCTTTATCCTAGTATTCATGAACAGTATTCCCTTTTAGGGAAAGAGCCCGGGTTTACTAGGTTAGCGCATGACGATTTGCAACGCTATGTCCTAGGCTCAATTCCTACCAAGGGTAGGGGTCCTTTCCCTACCGACTCACCCAAAAAAAAAATTCGGAGGATTTTTCTTACCCAAAAAAAAAGACAGTATTCCCTTTTGCTCATATTTCACACATGCGCTATTATGTACTTCATTCAACAGGCACCCATGAAACATACCACAATTAATTGATGCATATTTGGAATTTATTACAAAGACCCACTTGCCAGATTAGAGAGAATTCAAAGATTGGGATCTTTTCTTTTTTCTTTTCTATTGGAACTTGACATCATGTTGCAGTTTCAATGCCCTGATTTCCAAGCCAAGAGCGCTTTTCTCACTCGCCTATATTCATTCACTTGCAACAAAATTTATTTAAAAAAAAAGAGAAAACTAGTTTAATTTTTAGAAATAGAAACAACTATATCAAATAATTGGGAAGAAAACAAGAGAATTGGACAACAAAGGAAAGTTCCCACATATTGCTCTCATTCAATGCACACTTCGAATTGTTTGCACAAACACATTTTTAATCAATTAGAAAAATATTAAAGACAAAGGATCAAATATACAAGCATTTACAATAAAGGCAGCATAAGAATTCAGTAAAACTACTATATGAAAATGCATATTGAAGTTTATTTGCATAAATCCATTTCACCAAATCAAAGGAATTAACAACAATCACACTTTTGAATACACAATTGTTATAGACAGAACAAACAAATCTACCTGTAAAAAAGGCAGCTCTTTTTTAAAAAAGAGAATTGAAGAAATAAGAGAATTGGACAAGAAGAAGAAAGCCTTTACCACATATATTTCTCTGTTGAACTCTGTTGCTAGGCTCTCAATCGCTATATCATCGCCAAAGGCAGCAGATCTACCATCTCTATTCTCATCCACATAAAGTAAACCCTCCTCTGTGTATTGTAAAGTGATAATATCATGTTCATCATCTGGTGAACCAGACACTGACATATATGTGGCCCAACTCGGGCCATCAACGACGGTTATGCATCTCTCCTTGTAAATGGTCTCTGCAGCCGTTTCTCTGAAACCCCAAAGGATCCAAGAAAATAAATGATGGAAAATAATAATAATAATAAATATATATATATATATACTCAAAATAAGAAAAAGGAAAAATTGAAGAATTTAAAGCATGGGTTTTGTGCTCATATCAATTGACCAAACACTATAAAGTTCGAAATGGAATGACACTAGGAAAAGTATACATGCACCAGAGGACGTCCACTCCAGTTTAATCAAAATGGTGGAGGTTGGTTGTAGTTTCCAAGCATACACATGCATCTTATGGTTAATCTCCACTATGGTTAATCTTCGCTGTCTCTCATCAGGACTAGCATAGGGATGGTACCACCATGGTTTGTGACCCAAGTGATGTATTCCCTAAATGCAAGGTCACTAGAGGTCTATTCTCTTTCTTATATATTGTGGAAGCAGCATTGCATGTACATGAAATGTATGAGAAGGAGATCCAAGAATGATTGGATGTAAAATTCTTTTCCCGAGAGTGTGAAGAATTATTCAAGAACTGCATGAATGTTACATTAACATGAGTAGAGTTTTCTAGTTATTGCTAAAAAAGAATGGGGGGAGAAGTATGAGGTTCTCTGGGTATTATAGTAATTTTAGTTGAATCTCAGCCAAATGCTGGGTAAATTGATAAAACAATGACAATGTAAGAACACTGCTATCTCAAGGGGACACAACCACGTCATTGCCAAAATATAACTCATCAAAGCCCACTGGAAAGCCCTAGAAGTAGAAGGTTACAGAGGTCTTGAGAAAGCTTAAAATCACAGCATTGCTAAACCGTAATTTTTCTTGGTGGGAGGAATCCTCTGATCCTAACGCACTTCCAGAACCCTAACTTCTCAAGGAGAGCAGACTGCAGACCGACCTTACACAATCTGCGTGTGCTAAGGCATCCATGCTTGCTCTCAACAATAGAGGGTCAAGATTAACAGAAGCTGGGTGAATGCCTGTTATCAAGAGCTACAGTTAATCTCAACCTCTCATTGTTGAGAATGGACAGTGGATGCCCCTGTATAACATATATCATACACAGGTTGTATGTGGTATAGTTCCACTTCTCAATGCTAACTGAAAACCCTAGAAATAAAATATTAGACAAGCCCAACCAACACAGCATCCAATAGAACCCTAATTTTAAACAGTTGCATAACTCCCATGGACCACCCTTACCACATTCCCCTATTTTACTTCGGCTTTAAGGGACATAACCACACCATGCCAAAACCCTAACATAATATACTAACTCAAAAATATTGTCAAAACACTATTTTTTGAATCTCAACATTGTCGAAACATTAAAGCAACTTTCCCACCAAAACCCTAATTTGAACTGAAAGACCACCAAAAATCTAAAGCTGAAACCTGATCCTTAACGGCTATGAAACTAATGGATTTCAGAAACACTGCATTTGATGTGAATGTGAACCTTTGAGCTCCACTACTGAAACCCCAGCACTCAAACTAGCTGCAAATCTTAAAAGAAATAAGAAGCGCAAATTCATCACTTCGGAACACCCCAGCTTAAACAAACCAACAAAAAAACACCCTAATATGTGACAGTGCCAAAAACAATATTAAGGGGATGAAACCCGCAAAGTTAATACTTACAAACCTACACTTTCTAAGCAAATCTGAACCCTAAATCCATGCCATTTCTGGAAACATAATGTTGCCACTAAAGCAGAATCCTATGGACGGAATCATTTTAAAACCAAAATACATCAAATTTAACCCCCCAAGTTCGCTTGGTAGAAGCATAAATTCCATATAAATAACATGCAGAAAACCAAATAACACCAGAAGAATTGTTAATCCAAAATCTTAAAACCAAGAATAGAAATGTAACGAACCCAAAAAAATATCAGATTCTGAGCGTCTAACGATTTACAATATCATTTGAAAAAACACAATGAACTCAAAATTTCTCAATATAAAATTTCAAAATTAATATGCCCATCAAAGCATCAACTGAACCATAATGAACCCCAGAAACATCTGAATCTGATCTTCAAACCCATTAGCAAAAACCAGATCAAACCCAAAATTGCTCTTAAACTCTAAAAACCCCATCACCAAAAACAATATCAAAAACAAAATTCCTCAAAACCCAACTCAATGGAAAGCCCAAAGATCTGACAAATTTACAGATATCAACCAACCAACCTCTGCAAACCAAGAGCTACGAGCTCGGAGATCGCTGCATCGAGGCCCTCTCTCTGGTCCTTCCTCGCCAAAAGCTTCACCTCTTGAACCAAGTGAACGCCCCACCCGGCCTGTAAATCTGGGGAGTACATACTCCTTATAGCCCCATCAATAAATCCTCTATGTAACCCCTCACTCTCGTAATCCTGCAAAAATCTAACCACTGTTCTCTTTCTAAGCTCGTTAGGCTCAACCCTTACTTCCATTGCCGCTTTCGAAGCCGAGAAGAGGCAGTTCCCGTCGGCCTGAACATCACCGCCATGAAAGAGCAGGAACAACGAAGACGATTGATTTGTTGGGTGCTTCCAAAGAACACCCTTTGTGCACAGCTTTTGCAAGCTCCTCTTTTGTTCGTCTTCTAAGCCAGTTAGGGTTTCGAAATCTGAACCAGAAGAAGGTGGGTCTTCTTCTTCTTGTGAAGGGCGGTCGAGAAGGGGGTCTCGCCATGGCTGGAGAGCTGAGGAGCTCTGAATAGTGGCGGATGAATCACAGAGGAGCTTCCCCATTTTCTTATTGACCAAATTGCCCCTCGCCCGTTACCCTCTCTGCAAAGGGGGTAGAGGGAGAGAGGGTAGAGAGAGAAAGAGAGGGAGTGTTCATGGATGGTGAGTGTAATAAACGAGGGGAAATGAAGGCGTTGAAAAGAGACTGCCATCTGTCACTTCCAAAATGGCAAATGGGTCCTTTTCCTTTCTAAAAAATGATGGCTTATCGGTCAGAACGAGCACTTGGGCATTAAGGAATGGCTGGCTATAACGGGAAGAACGTATATAACGGTCAGTGAATTACTGTGTTATAGCCTTGTAGTGTAGGGAAAGGGGGTGGTCGTGGTGGACAGAAATCATTTTTATTTTAAAAACTTGACTGAAAAAATAAGATAAAAAATACCGACAAAAATACTTCATGCAAAGATATCTCCACCATATGGGATTAGGCTCAAATAATCGGATTCAAAAAATCAAATAAATTAAAATGTTAAAAATTTTAAAATTCTAAAAAATAAAAATTATGTCAATGCCATCAATAACTAATTCATCTATAAAAACTTTTTTAGACTAATATAATTAAGTCAATTAATTTAGATGTCTTATGACTTTCATCCAATTATCTAATATTGAATATATAATTAACTAGAAATTTTTAAAATTGAGCATAAGGCACAGTATAGTAAAAAAAAAAGTTAGGAATTTTCATGTAGCCATGTATCATCATCATCATCATCATTTACAAACATGTCATCATGTTCCGCCTCTTCGAAAACCTCTTCTACAACCAAGTTGTTCAATATTAATTGCATTATAATATCGAATTTCATTTTCACGCAATGCAGTCATCATCTTCGAGTTCACTCGTATGTAAATCAAATCGGTTAACATAATTGTTATCAATCTATTCATTTTTTTGGTTTGAGACGCATCAAAAGTATTACAATTTCTTTCGCACGCTGATGAGCTATATAGTTGGCTCAAAATCCGAATGGCAACCATTTGAACCAGTAGAATGCTTTATCCACATATTTCCCACTAAACTCTTATATAATGAGAAATTTTAGCGACATACTCAAGATACAATTAAAAGTGGGATAAAATTTATTTTCTTAAAATACTGAAAAATAAATAATACAATAAGATACAAACAACTAATAATCATTAAAATACTTACGAGGATGAGTTATTGACAATAATCCCAATGTAACGCCATCAAATATATTTGAATTTCGCGTATGGTACTTCAACAACTCTGAAAAGAAAACAATTTTCGATTATGCTTGGATCATTGAATTTGAAATCAAGATAAAGTCAACCTTAACTTCAGGATTATAAATTTAACAAACCCACCATATATTAAAGTTTGATTAAGAAATGCGGCAACAATATGAATGGGGTGAATTATATTTCCCTTTCACCTCTTTTCAAATATATTCACCAATTTAAGATACCTAAATTTATTGCCATTACAATTTCCCTTTAGTGCTTCCATTCCCATTTCAATTGCTTCATATAAATATCTCGTGGTTGACCCCTCACTATCACCCAAACGAAGCACCTTGATGAGAGGTACTAAAGTAGTATTGCATATGTCACATCATTCCAAAATTTGGAATTTTGAATTATTTATGTGATTTTTGTACCATTTTTACTCTTGCTATAATTCATAGCTCTCCACTCAGAAGATGCAACCATCACTCGCAAACCATCTTTTACTTGCGATACAGATTGAACCATCAAAAAGTCAATGGCAAATCTAGTTTTACCGTACTTTTTGACTTCCTTTCCATAATTGTGATTTTTCATTAAATATAAAACAATGGTACGCTGATACATAAAATCCACTGTTAATTTAGTATCTTTAATGACATTTTGTACCCAAATAACATTTTTATCAATGTATTCTAAAAGCAAATTTAACCTATGGATAGCACACCGTGTTTTATGAATATGAGATAATCTCGATTCTATTAGATCACCAACAAGTACATAATTTGATTCATTATCAGTCACAAAATTAACGATATTTTGTGGTCCTAACTCCTCAATGACTTGAACAAAAATATTTTCAAGAAATAATCCAGTTATGCTATACTTAGATACCTCAAATGAATAAAAACTGATCCCTTTAGACAATATGCAACAACATTATGAATAACTGATTTTTCATATCCAACCAGAGATCTAATATCAAAGTACATCCTGATTGAACTAATAACCCTTTTATTGAATCTACATATACATAGACATCTGTCTTAAGTGCTTGTACCAATTTAGTACAAACAAATGTGTAAGTTGGCAATGTGTAACTAGCACCAAAATTGATACATGCATTTATCATATTGACAAATGATTGTGCATTGATAACATTAAATGCAATATTATTATTATTCATAATAAATGAACGAGCAACTTCTTATTCAACAAAATCTTTATTTTTCTTATTCAATAATGATGGTAAAGAACTTTGTTGCAAACAAGAACTGAAAGTAGATGTACCTAAGTTTATTGAACATTTATCAACTTTTTGAACATATGATGTAATTTTGTTCTTCTTCTTTGGAGGCTTAAAAAATACCTCGTGTGTCGCAGAGATGGCCAAAGCGTATACATCATCTGATACTTAAGGGCAAGTTTTTATATCATTCTGTTGTTCTCTTGATAAATGATATTTGAATCTTGTTATCCCTGCAGAAAAGCCTTCACTGCAAAAATTGCATTACAAGTTATGTCATCTTTCTTCACAATAATCCCGAAATGGATCTTTTAAGCTAACTATTATATTTTCTTTCTTATTTTTAAAAATATATATATAAGAATACACACATTAGGGGTAAATGCTCTTTATAAATAATAAAATAATAAGTTCATGATAAATACACCATATGAATTTCTTCATTAAATGTTTTAACAAACATCACACCTACTTAGTACATACCAAAAAAAAAAAATTACACCTTATAAATTTTCACATTAAATACTGTAACAAAGATCACACCTACTTAAATACATACCAAAAAAAAGTACACCATATAATTTGCACATTAAATACGTTAACAAATATCAAACCTACTTAAATAAATACTAAAAAAATACACCATCTAAATTTCTCATTAAATACTTTAGCAAATATCACACCTAGTTAATTACATACCAAAAAAAGGCACAAATTTTTTTATTATTATTAATATTTTAACTATGGTATAGTCACTTTATAACTATAGTTAATGATTAGGGTTTATACTTTATATACATGCTTCAATTGGAAACAGGGGATCGTAGCTTTGGGTCCTCTATTTCTAGAGAGAGAAACAGACCAGGAAGACACAGAGGATTGTAGCTTTGGGTCCTCTGTTTCTAGATAGAGAAACAAACCAGGAAGACTCTGGGGATCATAGCTTTGGGTCTTCTATTTCTAGAGAGAGAAATAGGCCAAGAAGATACAGGGGATCGTAGCTTTCGGTCCTCTATTTCTAGAGAGAGAAACAGACTAGGAAGATTTAAAGCTTGTGGTTTTCATATATAATTTTGTGGTGTAGGATTCAAAGCTTGTGGTTCTAGAGAGAGAAACAGGGCTCGTTTCATTTTCTTGGGTTTTCCTCTATAAGATTCATAGAGGAATGAAATGAGGGTTTTCTCTGTAATTTGCACCTGTTTATTAATTTCCACCTATGGTTTTAGGGAGAGAAAATGAAATGGGGGATACACAAATTGGTTTACAAGAGCAATAAGATTGCGGTTCAATAGGGTTTTTCTCTGTAATTTACATGAGCAAGAAGACTGTGGTTCAATAGGGTTTTTTTCTATCATTTGCGAGACCCTAAATCCACTCTAGATTGCAAGAAGAATCCATTTATTGTTAAGCTTTTTTTTCTTTTAAGTTTTTGTATTCATTTAGGAATGCCATAAATATTCAATGTTTAATGTATATATTTTTCAGGAGAATCTCTCACGATCGTGTGACATGGCCTTTATGTATCCATTGGCATGTGATGCTCCATTCAAAAATTTTCTTCCCTGAACAAAGACGCCCATATGTTTTTAAATAATCTTATGGATTCTTCCAACAAATAATCACATAAATCTAGTTTATGCATATATATGATTTTCTTTACACAATAATTTCCTTTACACAATGATTTACAAGTAAATAATATTTTTTTTGCACAATAACGGTTGAAATCTGAATCAACATGTTTAAGTTAAAAAGAAAAAGAAAAAACAAAATCATACGTACACGGTAAATACGGTTTTGAAGAAGAAGAACATGATTTTAACATAAACCCTAAGTCCGAACAATACATAAATCCATTGGGGATAAAAATTTCCATTTTGAGATTTTTTTTGTGTGGAAATAATATGCTTTTTTAGAAATTACATATATCAGGAAAAAAAGTTGTATCTCTTTAAAAAAAAATTACAAGTAAAACCATGCTTTTTTGGTCATGTTTAATTCGTTATGTATAAAAACGTGTTTTTAACGTTATTACGAATAAAACATGTTTTTTTTTATGAACTTTTCAAAAAAATGCCATTTTAAACTATTTTAAAAAAACCTCCGATTTTTTAAAAAAATCAGCGATTAATCGTCGATTTGCTAACTATGAGTACCCCACACCCTAGTCATTACATTGTGGTTTTTATTCCTACCCCATTGATACTTTAAAAAAGCGACTCCTAATCTACTAAAAAAAACAGATAAAGGTATGTATTCCCCATTGAAAAAAAAAAGTGTTATATTTTTTAAAACCAAATGACTACCACAGCTTATACGACACTTAAAATACTATGACAACTAGAAAGAATATCAGGACACTCGAAATACCGTGATAGTCTTCATATCTTATAACCCACTCTAAACCCCTTTCTTCATTACGGTAATGTTTTTGCCATTATGTTTAGGGTTCGTTCTTCACAAGCTTGACTTCAAAGTTTGAGATACGATACAAGGACATCGGGCCGAGCATCAACACTGAAGAATCCAGCATTGCCTTGAGGAACGGAATGATTTTCGTTTAGTTTCCACTTTTCCTATGATGTATGGCTCTAAAGTGTTGATTTATTGAACAATTTTATTCAGATTTTTGGTATCATGCATGCGCTGGAAAACAAATATGATAG